AGCAGCGACTGCATGTGGAGGCCCATGAAGATAAAAGATGTTGGATTGAGTAGCAGCAAGCAATAGCTAAGGGAGCACATACTAAGAGAATGGTACTGTGTGGCACAGCAGTGGAAAGAAGAGTACACTCACGCATGGTCCTTCCTGCCGCAGCGACTGCACGTGCAGGTCCATCACTGAGTGAAGGCAAAGATGTTGCCTCGGGCAGCAGCAAGCAAGGACAGAGGTAGCACTTTCCAGGAGAATGGTACAGTATGGCAATGGCACTGGAAAGAACAGCATACTCACGCACGCAGGGTCCTTCCAAGTACTGCAGCAGCGACTGCACATGGAGGTCCATGAAGAGAAGTGGTGACTAGCAGCAGGGTCAGATCAGAGGAGGCGCATTTCAAGAGAATGGCATGGCATGGTCCCAGAAGAATGATACACTCACGCAGGGTCCTTCCAAGTACTGCAGCAGCAACTGCACATGGAGGTCCATGAAGAGAAAGATGTTGCCGAGCTTGCTGTTGGGAATGCGGTAAGCCATTCCGAGAGGAGAGTATGGCACCAAAACAAACAACAATACACTCAGGCAGGGCCCCCGAATACTCACACACGGCCCTTCCAAGTACTGCAGCAGCGACTGCACGTGGAGGTCCATGAAGAGAAAGATGTTGCCGAGCTTGCTGTTGGGAATGCTGCTGAGAATGCGCGCGTTCACCTTGCTGGTTATCACCTCCCCCGGTAGCACCTGCCGCTCCATGGTGCTGGGAGGTGGGGGAGGAGGAGTGAAGTGGGGAGTGGAGAGGAGTGAAGACGAGTGGAGACGAGTGGGGGGGGGGAGTAGGAGGAGTGGGGGGTGGGTTGGGAGGAGTGGGGAGGAAAGGAGAGAGAGAAAGGCATGAGGAGTAGGCATGTTGTGCGAGGCAAGCCGCTTAAAATGTGCGCGTTGACCTTTCTGGTTATCACCCCCCCGTTAGCGCTTGCCGTTCCATGGTGCTGGTAGGTGGGAGGAGTGGAAAGGAGTCGAGAGGAGTGGAGAGGAGTTATGAGGAATGGGGAAGAGGCCTGGGGGCATGCTGCTGTTCAAAATGCGCGTGTTCACCTTGCTGGTTATCACCTCCCCCGGTAGCACCTGCCTGCCGCTCCATCCATGGTGCTGCTGGCAGACCCCGAAGCATGGTCTCCCTCCGCGACAACGTAGAGCAGTTCAGAGCCGGCCGATGAGCTCCTCTACCATACGACCAGCCGTTGTGATGTGAATACCATACGACCAGCCGATGTGATGTGATGTGACTACCATACGAAGCAAAGGCACAGCTCAGACGCACGAGTTCCAGCAGACCCCCACGTCTGACTGACAGCATGATGCTTGCTAGGTAAGGGTATTGTACATGTAGCTCAGCACCAGAGCAAAACGCTGTGCCTAAGAGTACAATGAACCCTACAAATACACTCTCGAGTACCCGTGCTTGAGGAATGGAACCAGGCCGTACCCACACCACGCCTGTATCCGGGGAATGGAACAAAAACCCGTGCCTGAAACCTGGCCCGCCAAAGCTGTACTGTACCTGTAGCCGAGGAAGGGGATGACGAAGATGCAACGGCGGCTGCCATACCATACGCAGCAAAGGCGCAACCCAGTCGCACGAGCTCCAGCAGACCCCTCAACACCATGATGCTGGAGTAGGGTACATACCTGTAGCCGAGGAAGGGGATGACGAAGATGCGGCGGCGGCTGCCATAAGCAGCAAAGGCGCAGCCGAGGCGGACGAGCTCCAGCAGGTCGTCGTCTGTGTGCGTGGCCGCCACATATATCACGTCCTGGCCTACTAGCTGGTACTTCTCGTCCATCAGCACGCGCAGGTACTGGTAAGGGAGAGAAGGGTGGTTGTACGAGGGAGAGGGTGGTTGTAGGGATGGAAGAAAAGCAGCTCCAGCAGGTCATCGTGTGTGTGCGTGGCTGGCCGCCACGTATATCTCGTCCTGTCCCACCAGCTGCTACTTCTCGTCCATCAGCACGCACAGGTACTGCAAAGTTGCCAGTGGGGAATGAGGGGGCGGGAAAAGGGGGGAGGGGGGGGGGAAGGGGGAGGGGGGGGGTGTGGATGAGGGTGGGGGGGTTGAACATGTTGTGGCCTTGCATATCAATCCGCTCCGCCTATGTGCTGTGGCCTTGCATATCAATCCGCTCCGCCTATGTGCTGTGGCCGCCGCCACAAGTATCACCTCCTGGCCGACCAGCTGGTACTACCAGTCCATAAACACTCGCATACCCTGAACCCCAAAACTTTAACCCTCGATCAAAGCCTGCATCTGGTTACACTCTCTGGATTACAGAAATCCAAGTCCATAACGAGAAACTCCAGAAACAAACTTGCTGAGGCCCTGCTTCTGAAAGCTCTAAGTGACCTTTGAGTGTACTGGAAAGTTGCTTCGAAGATAGTGGTCATGGAAAGTTGCTTCGAAGATAGTGGTCATGGAAAGTTGCTTCGAAGATAGTGGTCATGGAAAGTTGCTTCGAAGATAGTGGTCATGGAAAGTTGCTTCGAAGATAGTGGTCATGGAAAGTTGCTTCGAAGATAGTGGTCATGGAAAGTTGCTTCGAAGATAGTGGTCATGGAAAGTTGCTTCGAAGATAGTGGTCATGGAAAGTTGCTTCGAAGATAGTGGTCATGGAAAGTTGCTTCGAAGATAGTGGTCATGGAAAGTTGCTTCGAAGATAGTGGTCATGGAAAGTTGCTTCGAAGATAGTGGTCATGGAAAGTTGCTTCGAAGATAGTGGTCATGGAAAGTTGCTTCGAAGATAGTGGTCATGGAAAGTTGCTTCGAAGATAGTGGTCATGGAAAGTTGCTTCGAAGATAGTGGTCATGGAAAGTTGCTCTGAAACCAGCCACCAGTTGAGGTACTTACTTCAAGCCAATAACGAGTTACAGCATCGCGCGTCTTGTTGGCTCCTGGAAAATACAGGCAGCACCATTGAGATCGTTTTTTCCCCTCCTTTGAATTGTTTCCGAATCACAGCTCCGCGTTCGACGCTCAACACTCACCTGCGGCGGGGATCACGCCCGTCAGGAGACGATTCTTGAGGCGCCTCAAAAATCGTCTCATCACTCACCTGCGGCGGGGATCACGCCCATCAGTTACCCGCTCGCCTCGCTTGCTGTGCTAGCGTCCCTACCAAGGTGTTGCTTGAGTCGATTCAAGAGTCACTTCGGCTATTGTGGTAACGGGAAGTAACCACTTCCCAGTACCCAGATACGAGCCAGCGGTTGAGTCGTTCCAAGTGCAAAAAAAGAGTTGCAGCATGCACTAATCAGGCGCCTAAGTAAGATGATCACCTTTTTGCCTCCTCTGAACTGTTTCCGGATGACAGTCCCGCGTTCGACGCTAAGCTGCTGCGCGATCAGATCCGCCCAGTAACCCGCTCGCCTCGCTCACTGTGCTAGCGCCCTACCAAGTCGTTCTTCCACTTGACTCAAGGGTCACCTCGGCTATTGCTGTAACGGAAAGTTCGCGGAACGAGCCGGCGTTTGAGAATCTTCACGAGAAAAACGAGTTGCAACAGTATGTACTAATCAGGCGCCTGAGTAAGATTCGCACCTTTTCCCCTCCTTTGAACTGTTTCCGGATGACCGTTCCGCGTTCCACGCTCAGTTGCTGCGCGATCAGATCCGCCAGATACGCGCTCGCCTCGCTCGAGTACACCACGTAGTTCGACGCGCACGTCGTTCCGTGGTTCATACTCGGGCACATCAGCGCCGTCGTGTTCCTCACAGCGTCGATCGCGGGAGACGCGCTGCCTGCTTCTGCTGCTGTTCCGTTGTTTGCTACCGTGCCGTCCATGCCGGAACTCATGGCCGTCGCTGACGAAGTAAAAGTTACCGTTGAGATGATGAGTGGCGCAAGGAGGAGAAGCACAAAGTGGAAGGAAAACGATCGATGCTGAATGATTGGAGGATGTTTTAATCTGTGCGTTGGTCCTCGAGATCTTGGTTGTGAAGGCGTAAGGACGAATGGCGCCAGCATCTAGTTCCCGCACGATGCTGAAACCTAGAAAAAAAGTGGAAGGCAAATTTGAGGTGGAGCCACGAAGATATCGCGAAACCTGCATGCAAACAAAAGAATCCGAATCAGACCAAACCGAACCGATTTGAACCAGGTACCTACGGCAATGCGAGACCCCGCCGATACATCCACCTCCTGTACGACATCTCAGCCGTCGATTTGTCCGCTGAAATTCACTGAGGGCGTGGAACATCTGAATTTTTTTTCATGTGTAGGTGTGGAACATAGAGACGAACAAAGCCTTGGGTCTCACAAACAAATGTTCGATCGACGGCTTTCGCAAACGTTTCGCCTCAGACGTTTTCTTCGTCGCCAATACGTATCGCTACAGAATCGAATTTTAAAATGGGGTAACAGAATCTCAATCGGACTGTGAACGAGCTCGCCTGACTACCCTAAAGACGAGATCCAGATCACCCCAACCCTGATCCCCCATCCACAACCATGCGCCTCAAACTCCAGCCCTCTATTGCTGTTTCTGCCACTCGTTTCACGTGTTCAGCTCTGCACCCATTCGTACGACTAGTAGCCACCCTTTCTATCAATTCCGACCTCTCTGGTTACCCTATTTTGCTCGCATCCCTCACTCGCCGACCAATCATGCACTACGGCGATGGGCTCGTGGTGGTCGCGATTTCCGCCTTCGCGGCGCTCCTCTGCGAGTTCATCTCGTGGGTGTTAATCTACCGAACCGCTAGCTATCGCGCGTTGACGCATAGCATAGAGAAGACGAGCCGTCGCGTAGAATCCATGAAGGAGCGCCAAGCGGGAGCGGCGGCGGCGGCCGCGGGGAGGAAAAGCGCGTCGCGCAAGATCGGGCGGTTCGAGCAGAGCCTTAAGGACTCGAACCAGGCGCTCAGCCGAGCCAAGTTTCAGGTACGGAGATCAGCCCGAGCCAGATTTTAGGTACGGATCACCCGAGCCTAGTTCCAAATTTGACGATCAGTCAATGTCTGGTAGTCCTTCCCGGCAATTTCCTTCCTCTCAGCTGCCACGAGGCGGGTGCTTGACTCCCAGTGCCGCCCAGATCTCCCGCTTTGCCCCACTTTTTCCCCCTTTTCCTCTTCCCCCTCCTCTCGTTTCCCCACTTTCTCCATCCCCCTGCATCTCCTCGCCTCCCTTCCGTCCACTTTCTCCCTGCCGTCCTCCCACTGCCGCTTCTCGCTCAGTCGGAGCAGTGCGAGCATGCTTTCGCCGCCCTTTGCGACTTTTGAGTCGACTCAAAAGTCACCTCGTTACAGTGGTACACGTCTCAGTCCGAGCAGTGCGAGCATGCCCTAGTCGCCCTTTGCTCTTCTCAACTCTCCACCCCACCCTCCCACCCCAACTCCATCCTCCTTCCCATCTCCATCCACCCTCCCATCTCCATCCACCCGCCCACCGCCCCACGCTCACCCAGTCTGCTGCAGTGGTGACGACAACGCTGCTTATCACCTTCTGTCTTCTTAACTCTCCCTCCCCTCCCTCCTCTCCAACTGCCCCGTGCTCACCCAGTCCGGTGCAGTGGTGGCAGTGACTCTGCTAATCGTCTTTGAGTTGCTCAACTCTCCCTCCACTTCCCTCCCATCTTGATCCACACTCGCCCCCACCTCCTCACGCCCACCCACGCCCCCCATCTTGATCCAACCCCTCACCCACTACTCCATGCTCGCCTGCTCGCCCAGTCAGGAGCGGTGGTGGCAGCAACGCTGCTGATTGTCTTTGGGCTGCTCAACTCTCCTCCCCTCTCTCCCATTTTGATCAACCCCCCCACCCACTGGCCCATGCTCGCCTATTCGCCCAGTCCGGTGCAGTGGTGGCAGCAACACTCCTAATCGTCTTCCGGCTGCTCAACTCGCTCTTCACTTCCCCTTATCTGCATCCACCCCACCCCCCACTCCCTCCCACCCACTACCCGTGCTCGCCCAGTCGTGCAGTGGTGGCAGCGACGCCGCTGATCGTCTTCGGGCTGCTCAACTCTCCCTCCCCTCCCTCCCCTCCCCCCATCTTGATCCAACCCCCCACCCACTGCCCCATGCTCGCCTGCCCACCCAGTCCGGTGCAGTGGTAGCAGTGACGCTGCTAATCGTCTTTGGGCTGCTCAATTCGCTCTTTGACGGCAAGCCAGTCGCCAAGCTGCCCTTCGTGCCCTTCGCCTTCATTCAGGTGCGCCCCGGTTATTCTCCACTCCTCCTTTATTGTCATGAACATTATTGTCATGAACATTATTGTCATGAACATTATTGTCATGAACATTATTGTCATGAACATTATTGTAGCAACTCTCCTAAACCCCTGATTTTTCCACACCTTTCTTTTTTCGTAAACTGATTCATTCACCATGCTCACTGTGATCTTCCCTTTCCCTCTCCTTTCCACACCTATTCGCTCCCTTTTCCTCATCATTGATCTAAAACTCTTTTCATTGAAAAGGTTTTCAGAGACGATCGCTCGATGATACTCCTCTCCTCTACATGCTCTGCTCCCTCGCCTCTCGCTCTGCCTACTTACATACTCCCTGCACCAACCCCTCCCCTCTTCGATGCAACATGGCATTATGGCCTGAGGGGGCACTGCCCCAGTCTTCTTCTTTTACCCCCTTCTCCTTGATATTCCTTTACATTTTCTGCTCCCAGTCGTCTCTACATTCCTTGCTCATCTGCCATCTTTGCTCATCTGCCATCCTTGCTCATCTGCCCTCCTCTACACTTTAACGCACCCCAGTCCTTGCTCTGCTCTTCGGCCCCATCACCACCCCCTTTCCACCCTTTCACGCCCATCCGTTGGAGCATACCATGTCGCATCTCGACCTGTCAGTCAGGATGCGACTCAACTGTCTGCGCCGTGGTGATTCTCTACATTCTCTGCCCGCGCACCCTCACTGTCCTTGCTTTTCTGCCCTCCTCTAGGCTTCAACACTCCTCCACTCCTCCCTTCTCCCCCTCCCTCAAACCCCCGTCTCCCCATCCCCCACCTACTCCTCACCTACAGCACAACATGTCACACCACGGCCTGCCAGGGGACTACCCCTCCTCACCGACTGTTTCATGGCCTTTCTCTACATGCTCTGCTCCTCAGTACTCCTTCATGCTCCCTTCGCCCATCCCCCACACCCCACCCGCCCTCCTGCTCCCCACTGACAGCACAACATGTTGCATCGGGACCTGCCATCCCAAGGAACGACCCCACCGACTGCTCCATGGTCTTCTGCTCTGCTCGCTCACCACTCACTAACCCTCCCTTCGTCTCACCCCCGAACCCCCACCCCCCCTCCTGCTCCCCACTGGCAGCGCAAGATGTCGCACTGTAACCTGCCAGGGGACGATCCCACAGACTACTCCATGGTCTTTCTCTACATGCTCTGCTCGCTCAGCCACCGTCCTTGCTACTCTGCCCTTCACTATGCTTCAATACTCCCTATTCCCCCCCTCTCCCCATCCCCCAACCCCCCATTTCCCGCTCCCCCACCCCACTTCCTCCTCCCACTGACAGCGCAACATGTCGCACCGTAACCTGCCAGGGGACGATCCCACCGACTGCTCCATGGTCTTCCTCTACATGCTCTGCTCGCTCAGCATCCGCCCCAACCTGCAGAAGCTGCTTGGCTTTGCGCCTCCCCATGGCGCTGCCCCCAACATGTTTGCAGGCCTCGATGCCAAGAACAAGTGACAGCGTGGGGAGCATGTTGCATGATGCATGTTGCATATTAGCTTCAGGATGGCTCAAGTTGCTTGTCCTGGCTTCAATTCCTGCTGCAACATTAACAGGGCAAGGGCAACACTCTGAATTGATACGCTCAATGTCTTACGGTACCGCACGCTCAATTGATGGCATTCTCATGCATCGTCTTTACCAGGTATAGCAAGAGCGTCTACCTCGGGCGGGCATGCTGTACGACTACCGTACCTACTGATGTGGCTTTTAGTCGACTCAGAAGTATACTGTACCTACTGGTACAAATTTCTCCATGAATGAAAAAAACGGGTTTTTAGAGCTTTCGCTGAACAGTGTTTCGGCACGTAAAAATTGGGTACCAGTACCGTAAGTGCCTCTGGGTTTTTTTCCAAACAGGAGGTTCAGTGTGCATCCATGTAAGCATACATGCTTACAGTGTGCTGTATAGGGTATGGATGCTTGCTGCCCCCCAATAAAGCCCTGCCTTATCAAGCCTTCATTCTGGAGTTTCAGGGCAACTCTAGCTTCATACAGGATGATTGTATACCAGCCTGAAGGCTGTTCAACGTCCAACAAAGGCGAACAAGGGCGAATCAAAGCATGAAGTTGAGCGTGTGTCCACACCACCACGCATCCGTCCTTTTACTTCTCTCCCTCCTTCCCCAGCCGTGCCTCCACCTCCTCCACACTCACCCCCTCAAAATCCGCAATCACATCAGCCGCCACGTTCCCCTCCGGCTCCCACGTGTTCTCATCCGAGTCCTGCCACTTAACTAAGTACTCCACCACACCCTCCCCGCCACCCTGCGACGCCCCCACCACCCGCTTCTCCAGAATCTTCTCCGCTACACCGTACTCCAACCCCTCTTCAAAATCCTTAACTAAATCCTCCCCAATGTTCTCCACCGGCTCCCAGCTGTCCTCCGAGTCGTCCTGCCACTTAACTAAGTACTCAACGGTGCCGTCCTCTGCTATGCGCTTGTCTAGGATCTGATCCACCTCGGATTCCTCAAACACCGCCTCATCGAGCATCTTCACCACGTTATCAAGGGCCAGGCGCCGGGCAAACTGAGATGGAGGTAAAAGGGGTTGGTTGGGGGTTGGGCGCGGGTGGGAGGAGAAGGGTTGTTAAAAATCACATCCTTTTAATATATCCTCGCCACAGATTCGCCTCATCGAGCATCTTTACCACGTTGCCAAGCGCCAGGCGCCGCGCGAACTGAAAATGGAAAGGGGTTGGTTGGGAGTTGGGTGAGGTTTAGATGAGAGGGGTTTGTTTGACAAATGGCCTCATCGAGCATCTTCACCACGCTATCAAGCGCCAGGCGCCGCGCAAACTGAGATGGAGACGGAAAGGGGTTGGTTGGGGGGTGGTGGGGGTGGGGGTGAGTTGGAGAAGGTTTTTGTTAGTAAATGTCTTGCATTCTTCAAACACCCACCGCCTCAAACACCGCCTCGAACACCGCCACCAACATCATCACCACGTTGTCAAGAGCCAGACGCCGGGCGTATCGAAGGGAAGGAATCGGTTGGGAGGTGAGGGGAGTGTGGGAGGAGGAGAGTGTTTAATACATGACCGCATAGGGCGTCCTTGCCACGCCACAGGTTCGCCTCATCGAGCATCTTCACCATGTTATCAAGGACCAGGCACCGAGCGAACTTAGATGGACACAGACAGGGGAGAGGTTTGTTTGACACATGTCTTCAGGGGGAATCTTCACCACAGGTTCGCCTCATCGAGCATCTTCACCACGTTATCAAGGGCCAGGCGCCGCGCGAACTGACAAGGGGACGACGGAAAGGGGTTGGTTGGGGATCGGGTGGGGGTGGGAGGAGAAGGTTGTTAACATACGCATCAATTTAGGGTATCTTCACCACGTTATCAAGGACCAGGCGCCGGGGAAACTGAGATGGAGACGGAAAGGGGTTTGTTGGGGGGGTGGGTGGGGTTGGCGAAGAGGGGTTTGTGTGACACACGTCTTTATTGGGCATCCTCATTGCGAGGAGCTGGACAGGCACGAGAGTAAGCAACAGGAGGGAGTGCCTTTTCACTGGCTACGATGCTAGGACCAGGCTGATAAAAGAAAGGTGCCAAAGTGGTTATGGGTGGCATGGGTGGGACATGGGTGACGTTGTTTGCAGAAATCACAGGTACCAGTCTGCTGCTGCATGGTTGGTGGATGTGGGTTCTGAAAAAAACTCTCACATGCTGCATTCAGCATAAGGTTTTGGAGCTTGCTTCAAACCGGCACAAAACAATCAAAAAAGAAGGAAAGAAAGGGAGAAAAAAAAGCGGCAAGGTGATGAGAACTCACAGCGCCGGGGTTATTAGCGGGAGTGGCCTTGAGCAGCTGCTCTGCGAGAATGAGGGGCGAGCGCTGCTGCTTGTCCTCCTGCTCGGGGTCCGCCCCGTGATCCAGCAGCGCGCGCACTATCGTCGAATGCACGTAGCTGATTGGGGGAGGGGGGAGGTAGAGGGGTGATGGGAGGAGAAGCTCAGTTATAGGCAAGGAGATGGAAGAATGAGAGGTGGCCTGGCAAGGCAAGGAGATGGAAGAATGTGAGGTGGCCTGGCAGGGCAAGGAGATGGAAGAATGGAGCACGTAGCTGGTTGCGGGAACGGCGTGAGGGGAAGAAAAGGGGTTAAGGTTCAGGCAAGGAAAAGGAAGAATGTGGGGTGCCCTAGCAGGTACGAAATTGACCTTCGACCAACAACCGCTAAGTGGTGTGTTTGGTGCAGTTCGTGTTCTTGATACAGTTGGAGCCAGTTTTTTATACAGTCAGTCTGTAATCGTTGGAGAGCAGAGGCCACTCAACCTTCACTTGATCCCCACCGTCCATTGTAACGTACGATTTCGTTGCTCTTACACGCCCCCCCACAACGTGCAGAAAGACTCAAATCGCGTCTGATGGTTTCGTGTGCACTCCCCCCAGCCGAACGCGTACTCATTCCTTGGTTCTCCCTGTTCTCCCCTCCACGGCGACTCACCCCGAAGCGATGTGCAGCGCGCTGTAGCCCTCCTTGTCCTGCCATGCCACGTCAGCTCCCTCTTCCAGCAGTTTGCGAACCAGCTGACGTGGGCCAAGGAGTTGTGGGTTGAACGCGTGGAGGAAAGAAACAGGGAGCATGAAGAAGAGAATGAAACATCAAACAGAATCAGCACATATTTCTGTCTCCACTCGCAGTCACCGCGACAAAAAGCGCTGGAATTGCACCGTAAAAATAGAGAATTTGCTCCAAGCTGCCTCGCGTTCGATGTGTCGTCACGGCGCCAGTCCTGGCGAATCCGATTCACCTAGTAGAAGGGCAGAATCACGACTCAATGACTCATTCCCAGCCCCGCCGCAAACAGCAGTGCGGAGCGGCCATCCCCATCGACAGCATCCACGCCTCTCCCCTCTTTCAGCAGCTCCTGAGCAGCCGCTCCATTCCCACACTCGCCGCCTCATTCCCGCACTCGCTTCTCACTCTCGCACTCACCTTCTCATTCCCGCACTCACCTTCTCATTCCCGCACTCAAGTCCTCAAACCCGCACTCGCCTCTTCATTCCCGCACTCACCTTCTCATTTCCCCACTCACCTTCTCATTTCCCCACTCACCTCGCATTCTCATTATCCAATTCCTTCTCATCCCCCACGCACCTTTTCATCCCTGCATTCTTCGTAATCATCACCGCACTCACCTTCTCATTCCCAAGCCCCGCCGCGAACAGCAGCCCGGACCGCCCATTCCCATCAACGGCGTTCACGTCGCGCCCCTCCGCCAGCAGCTCCTGGATCTTCGCATCGTCACCGCGCCGCACCGCAGTCCACCACGGCTCCTCGAACGCCGCCACCAGGTCCGCCGCGACGTTCTCGCGCGGCTCCCAGCTGTCCGGATGGTCGTCCTTCCACTCGATCAAATACTGGGTCACGCCGTCCTCCGCCACGCGGCTTCCCAGAATCTTCTCGACCTCGCCAACGTCCTCGTCGATTACTTCCGGCACGTCCTCGAATGCGGGTTTCTTGGCGTCTGACGTGGCTTCTTGTTGTTGCTTCTGCTCGGCTTCTGACGTGGATGTCGAGCCGGACGACGTGGCAAAGGCGGTGAACCGTCTCTCATGGGAAATTGCGTCTTTTTGGAAGGCGGAGAGAGAGGCAAACCCGCAGGATCTTCTGAATCCGCAGCTGTTAGACTTGGCCTGATTCTGTAGTTTGATCGCATTTCTCTGAAGCGACACGTGGCAAGGCCCTGTTGCTGCAGCTTGCAGGACTCTGACAGCGGCGGTAGCCATGATTTGAAAGGATCAATCAGCAGCCAAGAGGTACGTTTTGAGCTGGACAAGCAGCTAAGAATGCAACAGCCGTGAGAAAATTGATGAGGAATAAACTGAAGCAACAAAAAGCCAACAATGAAATGCTGATGTAAACAAAAATCGTTGTGAGCAAATTGATGGAGGAAAAACTGAAGCAGCCAGACTGAACGGATGAAATTCAGAAAGCGAGGAAACAAGTACTCTGCCAGCGTGGAGGCAAGCTGGATTCGTGCAGCTCATGGAGTTCAAAGCGCAATCTTCAAGCCAGTCACGACAAGCCAGCTGGCGGGAACTCATAAATCCTTCCGAATTCTACAAGATTGTAGTGAGGTCCAGAAAGTAATGTGTCAGGATACACTAAACGGTGATTTTGCAAATCACAAACAACAAAGGGAAAGTATATCCCAGCTCCTAACTTTCAGATTTCTCTCATATTTAGCCCGAGGTTTAAATGTAAATTTTTGAAAGTGAAACACTTTCTAAAATTGTGTATTGTGAATAGCGAAGCGAATTGTACCGAAGCAAAGACTTCGGCGAACCGCTACTTTGTTAGAATCTTACGGGAAAAGTGAGTGTTGACTATCAAGGGGAAAAGGTACAAAGGAGAAACCTAAGGGGTTGTACCCCACAGTGAGTACCCCACTAAGCCTAACCAACCTATAACATATATACACATATGTTTGACACACCCCCATAGGCAAAGTGGGGAAGAACAGAAGGTCACAAGACCAGTCAAGAAGTGTAAAGCAAGCTCAGGGTGGATCACAACGTCACCACGCAGTCTGAGCACAAGCAAGAAGGCCACAAGGCCAGTTCACATGCAGAAATATATATGTAACAACAACAGTACAGTGATATCTACCTACAAGAACAAGCATGCAGGAATACATATAAATCATGGTACAAACAAAGCCTACAGCAAGTGAGGAAGAGTGGGCACAAGGCCTAACAAAGTGCAGAAACGCTGATGATCACCAGGCGGAAGCGCCTTGGTGAATATATCAGCAGTGTTGGCCCGAGTGGCCACGTAGGTAAGACGAAGCTGGCCACGCTGCTGCAGCTCTCGAGCAAGAAAGTAACGAAGAGCGATGTGCTTCGTTCTGTGCTCCAGTCTGTGCTCCTGACACAAGGCAATGGCGGCCTTGTTGTCGACGTACAGCACTGGAGGAGAACTAGGCCGCTCTCCCAAGTCAGTCAACAGGTAGGTGAGCCAGCGAAGCTCCTGTGCAGCCATGGCTGTGGCGTAGATCTCAGCCTCACAACTGGAGCCGAGAACTGAAGACGAGCGTGTAGAACGCCAAGAAACTGAACCAGAGCCAAGGCTGAAGGTGTAACCCTGTGACGACCGCTGCGTAGCCTGGTCGTCAACCCAAGAGGCGTCCGAGTGACCAGTGAGGACAACGTCACCCCGTCCTCCAAGCACGAGCCCCATGCCCGATGTACTGCACAAGTAGCGTAGTACCCTCTTGGCAGCATCCATGTGCACCTTTCGGTGCCGACCAGGAGCCACATAGCGAGCCAGAAGGCCAAGAGGGTACGCAAGGTCAGGACGAGTGCAAGTCATCAGGTACATGAGGCAGCCCACTAACTCTGGGTAAGGACCACTCGGCTCTACGGACTCGTCCGAAGGTGGAGCTGAGAGCGAGTGACCTGTAGCCAGAGGAGTGGCCTGTGCTGAGGACCAGGTGAAACCGAAGCGCTGAAGGACCTGCTGCACCATGTGTGACTGAGTCAGTGTGATGGTGCGGCGTGCTCTCTCCCGGGTGATCTGCAAGCCAAGGTAGCTGCGCAGTTCACCCAGGTCTGTGCACGTGTGTCTCTTCTGCAGCTCCGACTTCACCAGGGCGAGAGCCTCAGTGTCAGCAGTGGCAAAGACCAAGTCGTCGACGTACACGAGAACGTAGAACGGCGGCAGCAAAGTGTCGGTGCGCAAAAACAGCGACGGGTGAGCAGTCGACGGAGCAAACCCAAGAGCCGCAAGTGTCGTCCTCAGTGTGTCGTGCCACTCACGTGGCGCCTGGCGGAGACCGTAGACCGGCCGCCGGAGGCTCCACTGGGTACCAGGAGGGAACGACCCAGTGAAGCCAGGAGGGCGGCGCAGCCAAATCTCCTCGTGCAGGCTGCCCTGTAAGAAGGCTGTGCTGAAGTCAAGAGAGTGAAGCTCGTAGTCACGCTGAGCGGCAACGTGTAGCAGCACCCGAAGAGTGGTCATCTTCGGGGTGGGGGAGAAGGTCTGGAAGAAGTCAACTCCCTCTCGCTGACTGAAGCCTCGAGCCACGTAACGAGCCTTGAAGACAGGCGGAGAACCTGGCGGCCGCTTCACCCTGAAAATCCACATGCCACTGACAATGTTCACCCCAGGAGGGGGAACCTCGTCGACGTAGGTGCCTGTGGACTTCCAGGATGCCATCTCTGCGTCCATGGCTGTCTGCCACTGAGAGGAGTACTTACCCGCGATCGCCTCAGCGTAAGAGCGCGGGGTAGGGATGTCTGGTGCATCCGGGACTCCCTCAGGGGCAAGCAGCATGGATACGAGATGAGGCGCAGCGGCTGCAAGACACTCAAGGTCCTCCTGCCTGTCCTCAAGGACGTCCGTGCCAAGAGCACACTCACCCCCGACGGACGGAGGACAGACAGACGCAGACTCAGCAACAAGACTGGCGGCGTAGTCTAGACGACAGTGAGCAGCAAAGGCAACAAGCTCAGTGACTAAGGCAGACGCAGCAGCAGACTCAAACGACGGGTCAGTGACAACAGTGGCAAGCAGACGCGTGACAGTAGAGTGCTCAGCACGAAACCGGTCAGACGCAGGGTCAGCAACGACAGGCAGAGAGGACGCAGGGGGAGGCGGCAGAGGAACACGCGGAGAAGGAGAGGAAGGACGACGAACTACAAGGGGAGGGCCGTGTCAAACTTATATCTGCTATGGTCAATTTAGGCTGTAGTGGGGTAGCTCTTAGAGGGTACAACACTTATGTGTTTCCTATTTGTACCCATCTAATTTTCTAGTTTATTCATTCTTTTGTCAATCCTTCTCACATGGTATAGAGCTAGTTTCGAGAATCTTTAAAAAGGGTCCACCACTGAAATTCGTCACTGCCTGCTCGACGCGCGCGTCGTGCCTTCCCTTCGAGGCCCGTCGCGGCCCCTGCGCCTGCCCTTAGAGCCAGCGCCCGGCTCGTAAGGCCCCCTTTTCCAGCCCCGTAAGGCCCCGTAAGGCCCCTTAAGGCCCCGTTTACGGCCCCGTAAGGCCCCGTTAGGCCCCGTAAGGCCCCGTAAGGCCCCGTAAGGCCCCGTAAGGCCCCGTAAGGCCCCATTTACGGCCCCGTTTAAGGCCCCGTAAGGCCCGGTAAGGCCCCGTAAGGCCCCATTTACGACCCCGTTTAAGGCCCCGTAAGGCCCCGTAAGGCCCCGTAAGGCCCCGTCAGGCCCCTTAAGGCCTCGTTTACGGCCCCGTTTAAGGCCCCGTAAGGCCCCGTCAGGCCCCGTTTAAGGCCCCGTAAGGCCCCGTAAGGCCCCGTCAGGCCCCGTTTAAGGCCCCGTTAGGCCCCGTACGGCCCCGTAAGGCCCCGTAAGGCCCCGTTAGAGGCCCCGTAAGGCCCCGTTAGAGGCCCCGTACGGCCCCGTCAGGCCCCGTCAGGCCCTGCGCCGGCCCTGCTGCAGCCCTGTAGCAGCTCTGCCCCGGCCCTGCTCCTGCACTGCCGCGGCCCGGCCCCGGCCCTGCCCCGGACCTGTCGCGGCCTCGCCCCTGCCCTGCCCCGGCCCTGCCCCGGCCCTGCACCCTGCCCCGGCTCTGCCCCGGCCCTGCCCCGGCCCTGCCCCGGCCCTGCATCTGAACTGCCCTGGCCCTGCCCCGGCCCTGCTCCTGCACTACCGCGGCCCTGCCCCGGCCCTGCCCCGGACCTGTCGCGGCCTCGCCCCTGCCCTGCCCCGGCCCTGCCCCGGCCCTGCACCCTGCCCCGGCTCTGCCCAGGCCCTGCCCCGGCCCTGCCCCGGCCCTGCATCTGAACTGCCCCGGCCCTGCCCCGGCCCTGCTCCTGAACTGCCCCGGCCCTGCCCCGGCCCTGCTCCTGAACTACCCCGGCCCTGCCCCTGAACTGCCCCGGCCCTGGCCCGGCTCTGCCCCGGCCCTGCCCCGGCCCTGCTCCTGAACTGCCCCGGCCCTGCCCCGGCCCTGCCCCGGCCCTGCACCCTGCCCCGGCTCTGCCCCGGCCCTGCCCCGGCCCTGCTTCTGAACTGCCCCGGCCCTGCTCCTGAACTGCCCCGGCCCTGCCCCGGCCCTGCTTCTGAACTGCCCCGGCCCTGCCCCTGAACTGCCCCGGCCCTGGCCCGGCTCTGCCCCGGCCCTGCCCCGGCCCTGCTCCTGAACTGCCCCGGCCCTGCCCCGGCCCTGCCCCTGAACTGCCCCGGCCCTGCCCCGGCTCTGCCCCGGCCCTGCCCCGGCCCTGCTCCTGAACTGCCCCGGCCCTGCCCCGGCCCTGCTCCTGAACTGCCCCGGCCCTACCCCGGCCCTGCCCCAGCCTCTCCCCTGGTAAGAGCGCCGCGCTGCCGAGCCACACCGCCCTGCCAAGCTGCGCCGCCCAGCCTAGCCTGCTTAGCCGAGTTGCACTGCTGCTGCTGCTAGCCTGCTGCTTCTCCTGTCATGGCTAGTCTCAATGTTCTTACCTTTGATGCTGAGGGTCGAGCTGTTGACTTTGAGGTCTGGCTAGATGATCTGCAGCTTTTCCTACAGTGCGATAGCAAGGATGGTCTCTCACTGTTCGATCTCACGTCTGGCGCCTCTACTGCCCCTACTGCTGATGCTGACAGTACTGTTCGCTCGCAGTGGCTCACGCGCGATGCTGCTGCTCGTCTTGCTGTGCGCAATCACCTGCCGTCTACTGAGCACGCGCACTTTAGTCAGTACAAGAGTGCTAGGGCTCTGTACGACGCTGTAGTTGCACGCTACTCCTCCCCTACCACTGCTGCCCTCAGCCGCC